AATGACCTAAGCAATATTAGATATTGCTATGAGATAATCTAAGAGTGTCCCAAACACTTCTAACAACGCATATGCTAATGAACTGGGCTTCCCAAAATAAATAAGTAAAAGAGGGGCGAGTAGAGCTCAAGTGGCAGAGCGCATGCTTAGTATACACGAGGTCCTGGGTTCAATCCCCAGTACCTCCTCTAAAAATAAATAAGTAAACCTAATTACCAACACCCTTTAAAAAAGATAAAAATTAAATTAAAGGTATTACTGTCAAGCTCCAAGTTATTTATATATGTTTTCTGTGTAGTCACATCAGCCAAAAGACAACTGTAAGATACTTTTTGACATGTGTGTGAGAGAGAAAATGGCAGGCATTTTTTTCAGTGTTTTCTGTGGGGCTAATTTCAAATTGTATATGTGGGTGTTCACGCAGAATCCTGGAATGCTAAGACTTCTCCACTTTCTACCATTTTTGTTTCCCAGATACCAGGCAATACACTGATGCAAGACCTAAAAGAAGTTTCTGGAGAGGCTTCTCAGATGCTATAGTACACAACCAAAGCTACGAAACTGTTTATTTGTGGAGCTGACATCAGTTTCTGGACTTACCAAGCTCTGTCTGAGAAAAAAGCAAGTTCAATGTGTACCACAGAGACACCTGTCACTGTCTTCTCAGATTAGATGGGAGGACTTTAGTTGAGATTGAAGCTATTGCTCAATTTGGCTTAAAAAAAAAAAAGCATATTGTTTTCCAAGTACCTAGCGCCTCTATATCCCTAACTCAAAAATCCAAGGAGATGCTTCTCTTATTTCATTTTACACATACAAAGAGGCATTCCCAGTGCTTAAATATTTCATTCAAGAAACAGTTTCACCAGAGAATAAAACTGACATTAATTGAGCAATTATTTTGCCAAATACTGTGCTAGATCTATTCATTATCACATTTAATTCCCATAATAATGATGTGAGATATTATCTCCACTTTGCATGTCAGAAAAGTGGAGTTTGAAGAAAGTGAATAACATGCCCCAAATCACAAAACTAGCCTGGGTGAAACTGAGATCCAAATCCAGGCAACCTAACGCCATTGCCCACACCCCAGTCGTTGCCACTCCCATTGGCAAGTTAATCACTATCTATGCATTAGCATGTCTTCCACCTGATTATAAAACCATATTCCTCAGTCCAGCGCAATTAAGACCACAAAGCTTAGCTTCGGATCATCTATAGGCCAAACCACAATCTCCAAAACATGACGATATGGTCTTAAATTTTAAGACAAACTTGGCCCTGACCCAGATCTTGGGACTACTAAAGAATTGTTCCATCCTTTAGAATAGAGAGGGAGGTCAGTCACTACCTCTTTTTCAAATAGAAGGAAACTGAGGCCTAAGGAAAAGCAATGATTTTTCATTCATTCTCACAAGTGAGCACAGAATTGGGTCTCCTTTCTCTGGGCTGTATGGTCTAAACTGGCTCTCCCCAAATATCACCCCTAATGGACACAAGGAATTTAGAAACCAAGTTCCAGGAAAGGAATCTGCGTGAAATAGAACCAACCTACCATCTGTCCCTGGGCTGCGGCCTATAAAGAGATGTTCATTTTAACACCTACCTTACCCCCAAGGTCTCTTGCCCAGCATTTTGCATTAATAGAGACATCAAGAGAGATGTTTGTCACTGCTATTCTTGCCCCAGGCTTTTTTTGGCTTCTGCGAAAATAGAAGCACCACGAATTACATGCTCAAACATGCCCGCATTCTTGGCAAAGCAAGAGAAAAATCGTGGGGGTCAAATTGGTGATAGAGTATCTACCAAAGAGATGACTTGATAGCTGCATTTCATACACAATGAAGGCATGTGTAATGGATATGGGAAAGTCAGGACGGTGTTCTATCACATCATGGCAACCTTGCAAACCAGAAACCAGAGAAAAATCTCCACCTATCAACATAATTGAAGCAGTCCATAGGTTCCACCAAAGTTGTCAAAGAATGAGGAGACCAAGATTCAGAATCAGAGACCTAGCCTGAATTAGCAAATTTACGTAAACCAAAATTTGACCTCGAGTTTCTCATCTCCATGGCGGAGACATAACAGTTCGCTTACACAACTGTTTCAAGGATCAAATGAGATCACTGCGGGGAAACACCCCTTGCCTCGTGGTACTCAATGTGCTTGGGTAAGATTTAAATCTGAGGATATGCTGAGAGTAGAGCTGGTCATCTGGCATCAGTTATTTTTCACTAGGCAAGTTGATAAGGCTCCAGTAGAAATAAGCAAGAGTCAGTTCATCCTCAGATAGTGACAACCACAAGGCACTTCATATGCCTTTGTAACCTAACTTTCATCCTTCTGGAGAGGATTATGATGGTCGGTAAAATTTCCAACAGCCATTATCATGTGATGATAGCACATGGGACTGAATGTAAAGACATTGCTCCGTGGAATAGATTGTTCCTTTCGTATATAAAGCATTTTCATTGCTTTCAGTACAGAGACTTTCTGCTGAATTTATATGCTTGTGCTAAGCATGGAAACCAGAATTTGCTTTTAGATGTAGCTTTCTGTGTTAGCGTTCCCCTCTACATCCCTACCGTCTTGTATTTTAATCACTCATGGCCTGGGGTGCAGAATAAAGGTAAAGATAATCGCCCTAGACAGAGGCAACCCTAACCAGATGGCTTGACGGCTGGTAAGTGTTTATAACAAACTCAATCATACTCTTCACTCAACAAACAAGCACTTACTTAAATGCTTTTAGTTGTAGTGCTGGGAGCATTCTCTCTGCTCATGAAGAGGTAAAGCAATGCTATATTTTAGGGTGGGGGTGGGGGGGATCATAGCCCATGAGCCAGAAATCAACCTCTCAACTGCCTAACTCGTTAAAGATCAATGTAGATGACATTGTCTCACTGGATTAAAATTAAACAGACTTCATTTCTAAGCTATGTCAAATGGAGTTAAAGCTATCAAATTCAACTGGATCTTGTGAGGCTTCAACAGAAAAAAATATCTGGATAATTGCCAGGGGTGCTGTGAATCCTGTAAAGAATAATCCATGAGCCAGGGAAAACCATTAATGTTCCCAAAGAGGGAAAAAAAAATGTTTGTCAATACAAACAAGTAGAATTAATGATCCATAACATTGATGGGGAATAAGAATCTGAATGTGCTTTTACTCTTTAATTTTCAAAGGATGTTAACTCCTTATCTTCATCTAACTTCTATGCTAATAAAATAGCTTTGAGGTGACAGTAAAATAAGGGAGAAAAAAAAAACTGTGACCGGGAAAAATATACAGTAATTATTTTGTAATCCTAACTACACCATCAGCAGCAGCACATATACAGCCCTTCCGTGAGGACAGAATCCAAGCAAGGATGGTTGTGTGTCACATGAGCACGCCAGGCAGAAAAGCAGGGGAACCGCTGAGTTGTCCTCCATGACGAGAAGAAGAGAGACGGGGGGATATAGTTAGATGTCAGGAGCCAGGAGACTTGGGTTGAGGACCCTGCACGGGGTACAGGAGAAGGAGATGCAACGGCTAATAGCCGCAGAGGAAACTTTAGAGGAGAACAGAGCTGTCTTTTGACAGCTGCATAGTGATCAGTATAACCTCCCCTATCCTGGACCATCTTCAGTAACCTCTACATTACTGAGGTTGCTCTGTTGGCAGGCTTTCTGTTGGAGGGCTGTGACGATGCCCAGGACCGTGCAGAGGTGAGATGAGGGGTCCTCCAAGAGGTCTGGTCACACCTAGCTGTGTGGGGTAGATTTTGGGGCGGCCACCCCAGCAGTGGATCACGAGCTCTCAGACCCGACCTAGTTGCCTCCAGGTTTTTAATTCACTGCGCTGGACACTGAGATAAGAACTGGAACCAACAGGGGAATGGGGGAGTAGCTCAGTGGTAGAGCCTGTGCTGAGCATGCATGAGGTCCTGGGTTCAATCCCTGGTACTTCCATTCAAAAAAAATTTTTCTTTTAATTTAAAAAAAGAACTGGAACCAACATAAGGGACACTGTCTTGGGTTGCACAAGGGTTCGTTCTTGGTTCTTCCCACCTCTGCAGCTGTTCAGGTCCAGGGGCCCCAAACTCAAATCATTTCAGGATACCAGGCACACCCACGAATGGGGAAAGTTACCGAGTTTAAGATAACAGGAAATGTTAGGGCCTGTTGGGAACTGGAGGTGGCAGATCCTTCCTAAAGGTGTTCAGAATCAGTATTCAGAGAAAAATGTGGTACGTAAGCAAACGTCTGTGCGCAGGATTCAAGACCCCTATTAGACTTTGTCTAAATGTGACTGCAAAGTGAAGTACTCAGGTGAACGTCTGACCTAAAGCCAGGATCCAGGTATTTTAGGCAGAACTTCTTCCTAAAACCATCTTTCTGGAATCACTATATATCATCTAAAGAAAATTAAAATGTCATAAATTAGCTGGTTTCAAATAATTCAGGTGTATTGAAATGGAATTTCTTTGATAGATCATCCATAAACTGCACACAAAAGATTTTTCCCATGGGTCAAACCAGACAGTGTTCAGGTTTAACTTAAAATATCTACATTCTATTAAAAGTTGTCAGGGAACTGAGGAGGGGGTGGGGGTGAAGGAGAGAAAGGGAGGTTATTCTGAAGTCTTGCCACACGTGACAAGTCTCCTCTGCCCTTTATCACTAATCCAAAATGGGCTGAAACTGCAATCGTCCAGAAACATTCACAGCCAAGGAGAGCAGGGACCAGCCCTGTCCCCAGGCTCCAGAAGTCTTTAAAAGGGGCTTGTTTACCCCCTAAGTTCTTGATATTCTTGTGCTGTAGCCAGATAACCAGATAGGGATATTACATGAGGGCTTTGTGACCTCGGATCTCAAGAAATGCAAACCTTGCAGACGTGACAGCTGCCCCCACCCTGTCTCCAAGCCAGTCTTTCCCAGTCAAGCCACTTCTCCACTCACTGTATTCCGTGCAACTAAGGAAAGAAGAAACACTCTAGAAAAATCCTTACCTGGAGCTGCTGGTCTAACTCTGGAAAGACCAAAGGAGTGTCGTCTTCAGGAGGTGTATCATCTGAAACATGAAAATAAAGTGATTCTTCACTACAGAGCTATTTCTCTCGGGTGAGTTGTCCTGCTGTTACCAACTTTGGATTCGTGGAGTTAAACCATCAGCGGACACTGCTTCGGTGATTTTCATCACTTCAGTTGGCAACAGAAAGAACACAGAAGACAATTTTGCTCATTTCGAGACAAACAGAAGCACAAACTGCGTAGATGGTTTGAGCAAAATTTTGCAAACAAGTATCAGACTCCTCGAATGTTCAGCCCAGTAGCTCCCCAGTTAAGAAGCACTGCTTGTCTTTCTTTGGCTCATACAGTAGCCAAAACCAAAAAATATGATATGCAAGAAAGTGCTTTAACAAGGTGCTAATGAGGTGACCACGACAACCTCAATGGGGCAGGAGAATGTGTGAGTGAAAAATAGAAGTGTCAGCTCTGCTCTCAGACTCCCAGGGTGGCAGGCTTTGATGGGTCTGCCCTCTGCTCTTACCACAAACCACCACCAACAGGCAGTTGACCAGAGCTTCGTCTGGGTTACGGTGGGTCACAGGCAGCAACCCGTTCAGGGCGTTTCTTCCCTGGGCACCAGGCAGAAGTCCCAACCTGAAGCCTGATTCACTGCCCCGATGCGGGAGACCCCCAGCTGGGACAGCCCGCAACTCTGTCCTCAGCTGCCTTCCCCTGGCTGACTGGCAGGTGTTGCTGGATCAAAAGATGCGGTTCTCAGAAGCGTCAGAGGAAACCTCAGAGAAGATTATCCTAATCGCAAGGACATACTGCTGCCCCAGCCCGGGTACTAGAGGACAACCTCCCTGCCAGCAGACTCTGACCCTGCAGGTCCAGTGGCCACTCATTTCCAGTCCTCTGCTTGATGACCGCATCTACCCCAGGTATGACTATGAGAATAAGAAAAAATTAGGCCAGCCGAATAATTTAAATACCAAAATCTATTTTAAATCATTAGAAAGAAAGAGCATGGTTTTTAGGTTCTCACCGCCATAACCAGGTTTATTGATAAAAACTGCTGAAGTTCTACTTGAACTAGGGGAAGTGATGCAGGGCACACACAGTGCAGAAGCAAGCATCCTCGCCCCCGCTCGCTGGCGGCACAGTCCAGAACACAACGCAGCACACCAGGAGCTCCAGGCTTGTCAGGGATTACATTTCTCGGAATGCATCAAAGATGATCACCAGGAGGATAATTCAAACAAGGACAGTGTTCACCTCTGCCAAACACCTCAAGGGCCTCCGGTATATTTTAATCAAGAATAGTATAATAATACTCCCTCTTAAGAGAGGCTTAAGACAATGATGATGCAGGACCAACTGTGCACCCATTTGTCCCTACACCTGTGCCAGTCAGCGGATGCTCACAGGTTCACTGACACTACGCAGCTTCAGAGAACAAGCAGAAATGGGGAAATCTTCCCAAGACCCTCGCCGCACGCTGGAGGGCTGTCTCACAAGGAAACCAAGAAAGCCGATCCCTTGGCCCTTGCAGTGTTCTCTTCCTGCACAGAGGTGACAAATTCTGCCAAATCCTGTGACTCTTTAAATCCACCTCATCATTTGCAAAGAAATGGACAAAAGACAGAAATATTTAAAAAGGAAAAAAAAAAGAAAGAAAGAGTCACTTGTTTCTACCGACCCTTGGAGGTAGCCTTTGTTACAAAAACCTATAGTTTGTAAAACCGATTTTGATCTAAGGTGCATTTAAATTTACTTCAATAAAATATCAATAACCCAAACATCATGATTACTTTAGCTCATTGAGTTCAAGGCCAGGAAAATCTGGCAAGGGTAAATGGGAACATATGATACTTTGGCATCCCAACCTAATAACCATAGATGAGCAGGCACTTGTTAGAAGGAGAAACCACTTCTACGAGGTGCCAGAGCAGACAGTGCATTCTAGAGTTCTAAAAGACAGCGAGGAGTGGAACTCAAAGCTTCCTGGGACTTAATCCACCTTGTTCCCTGTGAAGTCACATTCCTTCCTGCTTAATTATAAACAAAGCGAGGGAAAAGTTATTCATTTACTTTCCTATAGTAAATAGCAAATACCTGGTATGACCCAGAACCAATAAAGCCCACTATAAAAATCGGTCATTACTGATAATCACTCCATGTTGAGGTACATAGATGTGACCAGGCTGATAATTCTGCAGATAAGTAACGGCTTAAGATTGGATTCCTTGAGTTGAAATAACAATCTAATTGATTGACAGAGACATATACATATGACGGATGTTTTAGAGAGACAAACAAAATAAAGGCAAGACTTTTGTTAAAGAATGGATCGGGTTGGATTAATCTGAGCAGGAAATGGCAGCAGAAATAAGCAAACCAAAGACAGATGTAAGGAGATGACGTAGTTTGAAAGCCAGGCCTGTGTTTCACTGCCTGATGCCATCTGGTCGAGCTGGCATCCCTGCCAGCCAGAAATTTCAGGGCTTGAAAAGCTGCTAACAAAGCTGCTCCAAGTTGATGTGTGGTGTGTTTACTTTTAAACAGTGGCTGCCTTCTTTGACTGGTTTTAAAAATAGGCAAATATTCTAAAAGCAGAATGATGAATCACAGGATTGGGCCAAAAAGGAAAGAAGGAAAATGACTCAGGCAGACTAGTAGCACAGCTGTTCCGCAAACATTTGGCCGAATCGTGGTAAAACATTTTGACAGTGATATCGGATCAGAGTTCCTAACAGCAGTTAAGTTTGTTTTGACAATTCCAGAAGCACAAAGGAGACTGTACAGTAGCTATGCAAGACACTCTCTTGGCAAATTTGGCTTTTAAAAGAAAAAAAAAAGGAGAATAGTTGCTAGATAGGTTTGCAATTTGATAAAATCAGAATGCAAGTACACTTTTATTAAAATTTCTGCATTTCCCAAATACTTCTTGAATGCCTACTACATTAAAGGCAGGGACTGAGCTTCTATGCTGAACTGGCAAATCACTGTCATATTTTTTGATGCATTATGAAAATAATTCGTAAGCTTCCTTTTCAAAATGGTACTGTGGGGGCTTGGTGGACCAAGCGAAATGTATCCTCAGGAATTTGTTAAAGGACAAAATATAAAGGAAAGAATGAAAGAGGAATTCTTTTAATAAACAGGTGTCCATGGCCTGTTTTGCAAACATGATGTGACTAAGTCAATGGTACTTAAGATAGAACTTTCTTATTGGTATCCCAACCATTAGGACACACCATAGTACATTTTCTGATGGGCTTGTCTCTGTATCTATCTAGCAGCTGTTGGGTTGCTTTGGTGGTATTCTGTTTCAGATTTCCTTAAATTGTCTGGTCTGTGTTTCTCCATCAATCAGTTGAGCGGGACCTATGGGGTCTGTCATCCAAATTCTCACTGTCGTTTAGTCATTAGAGCTACACGGTCAGAGCTCTCAGAAATGCTGCAGCTGGAAGGACCTGAGCAGTCATCTGGTCCCGGACTCTCAGAGCAGCACTGAAGACAAGAGCCCCCAGGAGGGAAAGGAGTGTCATAAGACTGAGAGGGGGGTCTCCCGACCCAGGGTTCTTCACCATGCCGCCTTGTTCTTCACTGTCTGCTCGGTAGGTTCCCACACTCTTGTATTTCATGAACCAGCAAAATTTTCCCCCAAAATATTGGGAGTCATGTCCTTAGAGTGGCCAACTTTGTATTCAGCCAGTGAAGATGATTCCAAAACAGCTACTGTGATCATTAGCATCTCTTTGTGACAGAGGACATTTGAACACCAAAATCATAAGACAAACATAATCTTCAAATACAAGCATGTCCATTAGATTGGACACATTTAGCTTTATAGACACACACATGTGCGCATGCACACACACTCACATACAGCCTCACTGCCGTGTCCTTTCTTTTGTTTCACATCCGAGAGGAAAACTTCATCAAAGTCAGACCAGGTCTGTGAAGTCGCACTGAGAACAACTGTTCTAGAGAATGTCTTGACTGGACTTTGGGGTCAATTGTCTCCCCGGCCCAGGTGTGTCTAGGCTGGGAAACGCTAAATCCCTGGTAGAATAAGTGTAGGTTTCCACACAGAGAAGACCTCAGGAGAGGGAGAAGTCACACTCAGAAAGCGTTTCCAAGGCTCACTCCTCTCCCCACCCAGGAACTTGAGAGGCAGCCGGCCCCGAATCCATTCAACACATCTACACTTCCGCAGTCACAGCCCACATGGTGGGAATGTGCCTGTGCCGTCACAGGGGCCCTTCACCCAGGCAGGCCTGTGCTCGGTTTAATGATCAGGGTGCACTGTCTTGAAATTCTTAACAATTTTTGAACAAGGAACCCCAGATTTTTTGCACCGTGCCTCCACATAGTATGTAGCTGTCCCTGCCAACGGGACAGCCTCTGAGCGCTGGTGTCTGAAAACTGTCCTCCAGGGCACCAGGGCAAACGGACACAAGAGGCAAGTGTACACGAGAAATTGGCACACTGTAACTGACTATACTTCAGTTCAAAAAAAAAAAGAGGCAAGTGAGTTTGGGCAGTGGCTACAGTACTGAGGCACCCGCAAAACCTTTCCCGGCAAATGTTTGCCTGTGAAGGCTCTTGCCCGCGAAGGACACAGCAGGTCGGTGTAATTCAGTAGGATCGATAGTCATTTGAATCTCCAGTAGACCACTTTTTAATTGGTGAATGTGGACAATGAACATAATCTCTTTGAGACTCAGTTTTCTCTTCTGCAAAATGGGTGTGATATTTCCTGTCTCAGAAACTTGTCTTAGTACAAGAATGCATATGTCAATCATTCAGCCTATAGCCTGGCACCTAGGAAACAGTCAGGAACAATAGTGAAAGCTTAATGTAACTGTGTTTACTTTCCCTTCCTTTTCACCATAAATTTGACTGAGATGGTGATGGGGAGGCAAGGCACTTGTGTGCATGTGTGTGCTTATATGAGTATGTGTATAATGGTGGGGTTTAAGGTTATTATCTTCATCATCTGAATAATTCAAAGAGAACAAGCAAGGTCAAGATCACTGACTCTAATTCCTGAGT